GGGGGGGGGGGGGGGGGGGGGGGGACTTAAATCATTTCTTCAATAAAATAATAATAATAATAAAAGGAATATTTTAAGAGTCACTGTACTCAGGGAAGCCCTAAGCTATGGCTTCTTATTAGGTATTTATAATTCTCTCTCTCGAGATGCAATTTACCATTCGAGTTATTTTTATGATAAGCAATATTCCCAAATAACAAACAATTTTTAATTGGGGGGATTTAAATCATTTCTTCAATAAAATAATGATAATAATAAAAGGACAATTTTAAGAGTCACTGTACTCAGGGAAGCCCTAAGCTATGGCTTCTTATTAGGTATTTATAATTCTCTCTCTCAAGATGCAATTTACCATTCGAGTTATTTTTATGATAAGCAATATTCCCAAATAACAAACACCATTTTTAATTGTTTCCTGAGAAAGAGAGCTAGAGTTAACCAAAGGCCAGATTCTCATCAAAGGGAAAAAGGCTTAACTCTTTACTCCTAGTGTCAAATCTCCCATGAAACAAAAATTGATAAAGTTTTGTTTTTTTTTCCTGACTTTTAAAAATCACAGTTGCCTTTTGTGAAAGATCCTTTGGGCAGTACAAGTGTATCCAAGGGGAACAAGACTGTTTTACTATGTGACAGCTAGGGCATATGGTTGATGTACAAAATAGTGCGATATATTTTTTTTCTTTACTACCTTCCTCCTTCTAGTGTTACTTCCCTGGCTCAACCTAGGTCAGAATGTAACGAATGTTCCAGAAAATAAGTCAGCTACACCCTTTACATTCACTCTATCTTATTTAAATTGGCTCATGTGGTCCTTTCCTTCTCGCCCTATAACTCAACAACCAACAACATACTTTCCCTATAGATAAGGGAGCTAGCTTGGGACACAAAGGCATTTTTTTTCTAATTTAAAAATTACCTGTGATATTAGTAAACACACCTGATAGACTACTCTTACAGCAGATAAGAGAAACAGGAAAACCCTAGAAGCCCTCAGTATCATGAGGCCTCTCAAATATCATGCAAAGGGAGAAAAAAAACCACAAGTGTGAGAAATAATTCTTCAGAAGCAATATGGTTCAGATGCTGACTCTACCACTGTTACTTTGAGTAAATCATAACTTTTCTTAAACCTCAGTTTTCACATCCTTAGAATAGGGATAATTATAGTTCTCAGCTCCTATGGTTGAGTTGAAAAGTAGATGGGATAATGCACGAAAGTGCTTAGCATATTGCCTCATCCAGAGCAAACTACTTCGCTTATTATTGTTCTTGCTGTTATTATTATTAAATACACTCAAGGGTTCCACTACCAACTACTGCTTTTGATTCCTAAATTGCATTCCCCAGGCCATACCTCTACCCTCAGCTCTGGACTTATGTCTCGTCTCCATCAGCCTACTCATCAATTTCTCCTGTGTCAAAATATTAAATTCATCACAGCCAAAATAATCCCAATTCCATTTTATGTCAGTGTTGGTGTATGTTTAGTAAAGGGACCTCATCTTGTTCATCCCAGTATCCCACAAACGTTCTTTACATGTATCAGCGATCAGGCTGAATTTAATTCATTTAGGTTTTTTACTTTTCTTCAGGTCAGGTTACAAAATTAGTGCTGAAGTCAGTACTCCAGAAGCCGAACAGGGTGGAGGCCAAGAGTGTGGGCTCCTCCCTGAGCAAGTTACTCAATACCTATGTGCCAGTCTCCTTAATTGTAAAATAGAGATAATTATGCTGTCCTCGTAGATTAAGTAATGTACTTAAGATAACAACGCAGGGCCTGGAATAATCAATACATACCAGCTGCTAGTACATATTCCATTTTATGTCCGCCACATGGTATGTACTTTAAAGGACCAAAAACTATTGATTTCAAAAACTAACTACTTCAAATCACCAAGAGAATTTTAGATTATGAAGAGTGTAAATTAAGAATGCAAGGAAGTGTATTTAACAATTTTTATAAAGCTCTCCCTGAAATCCTTTTTTTAATAGCCCAGTACATAAAATCTCCAGTTATCTGGGAAATTAATTTATACTGAATGACTCTCTATTTTGTGAAATAACTAGATATTACTATTAGAGAGTATACAATGAGATAAGTGCAAGAGGACATATATACACTTTATTTCTTCTCTCTTAATTTTTCAGTGACTAAGATCTTCCCTAAATACCAGGTGTTAGTCAAAGGCTTTAACAATAGAGTGTATGACTCTTCGCCCTGAAGGCAAGGAGCAAGGAAGGTCCAAAGTCATCCACCCCTTTTAGAGGGGCTTCATAAAGCACATTGAATCTTCAAGGAATTTAGAAAGTCCAGGGTCTAATGAATAAATACAACGGTGTGTACTGACAGCGATGAATACACCAGAATAAAGCCCCCAGAGGCTGCTGTGTCTAATCCTGACAACGCAGGGAAGCACCACACTTGAGTCAGTGTTACACTCTCACTTAGTACAGACATGTTAAACAAGCTGAAGGGATGAAAGCCCCTTCATACGCAACAGGTCATCCCTCCACTGAGTATCTACTGCAAAGAGAAGATCGGTGAAGGAATTTCTAAGATTTCTTTCAGATCTAAGCTCCATGATTCTATCATCTCTCCAAGGGTCCGCCACGCACAAGGAGGGGAGAAATGTGGTGGCGAGCAACCGTAAAAGCAAAGCAAAATTCTGGGCGCGGTTAAACTGGGAGCGATTAGTTTGGAGGAGGTAAGGCTAAAGCCAGGGAAGTTACCTAAAAATGATCCAGACTGGGAGAGGCTGGCATGGTTACAGGGACCTTCGAACCTGGGTTGGGAGTTCTGAAACTGTCCTTCTTATCTGCCATGGTTATTGATCTAAGGAACACGAACAGCCACAGACAAGGGATCTCACCCTGGGTTAACCGTGGCTTTCAGTTACCAACTCAACATTAAAAAGTTAATGCAAGCTGGGTTGCAGGCTTTGAAACAAGCTAAAGAAATGAATCTTCTCACAGATGCCCCATTGGACAACATTAGCTCTCTTTTCAGCCCACACAAGCCCGCCCAAAGCGGGAGGAGCTGGAGAAGCGGTAAACCAGGGTTCGAATCCAGCCCGAGCTGAGCCCAAGGATCTGCTCCCTCCTTGGACCCCAAATGCGCCACGCTGGGGCCCCAACTCGGGAGAAGTAGGTTCTGTGCCCACCTTGGTGCTGGGGTCCGGGTCCGAGCAGCAACCGAGGGCAGCCTCGTCGGTAAGGCCGCCAGACAGGGGCCGAGGTTCTGCCATGGTCCACTGCTGTATCACGAACGTCGCCGGGGATCAAGTCAGCAGACTACACTCCGCCCAGCCCCTGTGCTGTCCCTATTAGCCATGGCAGGAAGGCAAGGCGGCGGCGCGGGGCGGGAGGCTGCTGACTTCCAGCCAATAGCTGTGCAGAGGGCAAGTTGGCTCTCTGCCGGTTGTGTCTCAGTGAGTCAGCGCCTCCAGCCAGGGACTACAACTCCCAAGGTGCCTTGCGCATAATGGAGGCCTTCTTGAGGGGAGAAGAAAAACCAACAAAATCCCCCCAGAGAACCTACTGGCTGGAAACAGTGGTTTCTGTGTGTTGCTTGATGACCTAATTTTGTTTCTGTTTAACTGTTGAAGTTCAGTAACCACAGGGCTGCAACTGGTAGGAAATTGGAATCTGATGGAAAAAGAATTGGGAATTATTCGTTTCAAAGTAAAGATCTTTCTTAGTCTGACGCAGGGCAACCCCACCCCACCCCACCCTACCCCCTTCACCCTCCTTTGGGGGGGAGACCAAACTCTGCACAGAGAGAAGAGGGTCCTTTGACAGAGAGTGTAGAAAGAATTCAACACAAAATCCGAAGTTAGAGTCAAAAGGAAAGTTTATTAGAAAAAGGGGCAACATTCTATAGAGTGTGAGGCAGAAAGTGATAGGGACAGCGCAAGAGGGAGAGGGAAGGAAGAGAGAGAGAGAGAGAGAGAGAGAGAGAGAGCGAGCGAGAGAGAAAACTGAGACTAAGGCTTGGAAAGATAGTAAGTAGCGGGGGTGCTGAGTGTTCAGGGGATTCAGTTTATATATCATTCTTTAGTTCCTGTGAGTTATTGTTTAAAAGACTTTGTTAATCCATTTCCTTTGATATGTACATACAGTGAGGAAGGGGAAGGGTATGTAAAGGGTATGTATGGTGAAAAGGTAAGAATATGTAGAGTGAAAGGCCTGCTTGCTGGTAGTTTCCAGCTTTTAATCCATAGGTTCTCCATGGTTTTAGCTATAGGGAATGATGCTTGGTTCCTGTTTCCCCTTCACAGGTGTGGGGAATGGGTTGTTAGCTATCCCAGCAGAAATCCTCCTTTGTTCTGAAGGTGTCCTGGCCTGGCTACGGGCTGAGCACTATATTGCAGTCTCTGAATGTGGCTTGATTAACATGTTTAATTCTCTTCCCTCCTCCCTACTTTAAAAACATGCCTTAAATTTCATTTGATCCTCATCAAAATCCTGCAGGGAAACTGAGAGGAGTCCATTATTATTCCAAGCTTCTAGAGCTAATATATACTGGACCAAAACTTGATTCTAGATTTTTGACCCAGTCAGAAATGTTTTAATTATCCTGTGCTACTTATAAGGTAAGGAAGAGACAAGAGAATCAAAATATTAACCAAGCTACATTCAAAGACTGTAATTTCATGATCAGCCATGCAGCCAGGCCAGGACAAAGGAAGATTTCTACTGGGGTTGTTAACAGCTCATTTCCCCACACCTGGGGAAGAGGAAACAGGAAAAACACAGTCCTTAAGTGGCTGGGGAAATTTGCCCTGTCCTGCATCAGTTTCATTATTTATAAGACAAAGGTCCATAACTTTCAGTGTGTTTTACATTAATTTGGCTAAGGCACATATTTTAATCGTGTTCATTGAAAGATAGTCAACACTGAGTTCTTTGATGACTAGCACACAGTAGATGCTCAATAAATATTTCCTGTTGTTAAAAGACTAGTGTATATGTAATTTAGAAAAGGACTTTATGCTAATAAATGAATGAGGAATGAGATTTAAAAGAGAGTTTTTAAGTGAATAGGAGGGTCTATGTAAATTTCAAGAAGACAGATGGATGTCAGGCAAAACGAGAGCTTATTGCCTCACCTAATCAAACTGAAGCAGGGCAAAGATGCATCTGGTACCAGACATCTGGCACCAGTCCACCCCCAAGATGTCTCCCTCTCTCATCTCAGCTTCATTCTTCATCTCAGTTTCATTTTGTCAGACATACTCACTCCACAAATCTAGAATCTCAGAGCTCTCAGCCTCTAACCAGAAAGGGAGTGAGCCTCTTTCCTGAATTCAAATTTGATAAAATCCAGGGAGAAGGTATAATTGGCCTAGGTTAGCACCTGCACTTACTCCTGTGGTCAAAGCACTGCCATTGGCAGTTCAGCTTAGAACCACCTGGTTGGAGGGTTGTAAGAGGTAAAGCAGTCCCCCAAAGAAGAGGGATGCTGTTCTTATGAGAGTTGCTGGGCAAACTGAACCATAGATGTCCACTGCAAAAAGGTAGGCAGGATAAGAATTTCAACAGAAATTTTGTGCATACCTGATCCTAATTTATTATGGGATATTTCATCAAAACTCAATGTACTAGAACTGCAGAACTTCAGCATGGAGACAGACTTTAAAGTTTCTAAACCTAGAAACTGAAGCAACACACAAACTCCAGACACTGTGTATTACCACTCAATTTTTACATAGAAAACCTAGAGAAAAGAAATTAGTCTGAGATATTTTATTGAAAAGACATCCCAAACTGTTTTTTTTCCCCTCTAACCCCTCTGGTGAACTTCCCAGAATATGTGGGAGATAAACCATGTAAATAGATAGGAAGACTCAGTGTCATAAAACACTGATTTGTTTACAAATTAATTCATGAACGTAATGCAATTCCGATAAAAAAATCTTGTGGGTTTTTCTATGAACTAAATAAACTGATTCTAGATTCTAGTTTTGGTGCCCCAAATAGGCAAGAGACATTTGAAGAATAAATAAGTAGGGCAACCTACCCTTCCAGATAATAAGACTTAATATAAAGCTAGAGTAACACAGCGTGATAATGGCACTGGTGTAGATCGACAAATGGAAACTATGATAGGCAGTTGTGGAAACTGCCTATCATATCGACAAATGGAAACTAAGATGGCCCCAATGATCCCTACCTCCTCGTATTCATACTCGGTGTTATTCTTTCCCCTTGGGTATGGATTTAGTAACTCATTTCTAAGGAATAGAATATGGCAGAAGTGATGAGATGTCTCTTCTGAGATTAGATTACATAAGGACTGTAATTCTTGTCTTGAGAGCACTCTCTCACTTTCTTTTTCTCCCATCTCTCACTCAGAAGGTAAGCAAGATGCCATGTTGTGAGCAACAGTATGGAGAGACTCAGGTGGCAAGGAACTTAGATCTCTCGTCAATAGCCAGTGAGGACTGAGGCCTGCCAATGGCCACATTCGCAAGCTTGGAAGTGGGCCTTCTTCCGGTAGAGCTTTGAGATAACTACTGCCTTTGTCGAAACCTTAATTTTGAATTTGTGAAAAACCTTGAGCCAGAACTACCCAGCTAGACTGTTTCCAGAATCCTAACCTGTAGAAACCATGAGATAATAAATGTTCGTTGCTTTTAGCTGTTAAGTTTTGGAGTAATTTGCTGTGTAGCAATACACAACTAACACACACACACACACACACACACACACACGCAAACCTGATGTAGATCAGAGCTAGGATAAATTTTTCAATGAATGGTGATAGGACATTACAGTTTATCTTTATGGAAAAAAAAGTAGATTTTTCTATTTCATACCATAAAGAAAAACAGAAGTCCAAGTGTATTAAAGATAACAATGTGAAAAGCAAAACTTGAAAATACATAAAGAATAAAAATCAGAGAATACCCTTATGAATTCATGGTAGGAATTTCTTAATGAGATGTAAAAGCACAAAATATATTTTAAAAGTATCTTAAATAAAAACACACCATAAAAAAGTGAAAAGACAAACCAGAGTGGGAGAAGGTATGGGCAACAAACATAGCCCACAAAGGATCAGCATCCGCAACATGTAAAAAGTCTTACAAATCAATGAGGAAAAGTTTAACAATTCAACAACAACAACAACAAATGACAAGAGAAAAATGAGCAGTTTACAAAAGAGGGAAAACAAATACCTAATAAGTACGTAAAAAATGCTTTGATTCACTGGTAAATAAGGAAATGTAATTTAGTATAAAAATGTGATTTCTTTCATCCCCTTCAGATTGACAAAAAAATTTAAATTTAGTCTGTCAGCGTCAAGTGTGGATGTGGATGTGAAACAACCAAAATGCATATACACTGGCTGATGTAAACCTAAGTTATTATAAACATTTTACAAAATAATTTGACAGTATCTAGGGAAGTTAAAGATTGTACATGCTAGGATCTACTACTAATTATGTATCCTAGAGGATTACTGTGCCTGTAACCTAAGTATAAGAGACATGGTTTGGATAGAAAAAAAAAATTGGTGAAGCCTAAATCTCCAACAGCAAGGAAATAGATTGTGTTATTTTCCTATAGTGGAATACTATGCACAAGTAAAAATGAATCAGAAGAACTTTTCTACCATGAATAAATCTTACAAATGGAAATGAAATGATTAAAAGTTGCAGGAAATCCATAGGGCACGATTCCATTTTTGTAAAATTTTAAACTGTGCAATAATATAATACATTGTTTAGGGGTACACCTCTAGTAATGAGATCAGGAAGTACCTGGGAATAAACAACTCTAAATTCAGGAACATGATTTCCTCAAGGGGTGGTGGAGGAGGAAGCGATAGGGAACGGATATACCGAGGATTTAAATGTTTTGACATTGTCTCATAACTTAAGTGAGATTTTGGGTAAATGGATAGTTGTATCCTCTCTATACCTAAAGATTGTATAATATACTTTTTTTAAAGCTTAAAAGTAGTATGCATCATATATAGAAACAAAAAGGAAGATAGCAATAGTGAGAAAAGAGTACAGATGTTCCTGGACTTACGATATGATGGGGTTACATGCTGATAAGCCCATTGTAAACTGAAAAATCACAAGTTGAAAATGAATTTAATGCATCTAATTTACTGAACATCATAGCTTAGCCTAGCTGGAATCCACTGAATGTGTATCACTTTACCAGTGTCGCAAAGTTGAAAAATCATGAGTCAAACCATTGTAAATCAGGGACTAGTTGTGATTTAGAATAGTAACTACTTGAGAAGACAAATTCCAAATAGAGTTTAGAAGTGTTTCCTTTTTTTTTTTTAGAAGGGATATTAGTTTCCTAGAGCTGACATTGCCAAAAAAC